AAGCACTTAATTTATTCCAACTCTTTGCCCTGACCTGTAATCCCCTTCTCCTTACCCATCTGACCCATCTGTGTTTCATTTCCCACTCATCAGCATCCAAAGAGCTAGGCCTAGGTCCTGTTTGGAAGCATTAGAGAGTGATTGGCACCATTCCCTTTCCTGCACCACATCCTCTGCTGAATAAAATGACCATCAGATCAGAGAACAGAGCCTGCTTTGTCCCCGGCAACGGAGATCTGGAAGCACTTTCAATCATTTGCACTCTATACCCACTCAAATGCATTAATGTGATCAACATTGGGCCTGTTGTGGGCAGTTTTTTCCATCGAATAGCTTGCTAACATTCCAGGCATGTACTTCCCTGAAAACAAGGCTGAGTCTAGGCCCTGAATATTCATTTGGAAAATTACCAAGAGCGAGAGCTTAGCTTGGCACGCCTGGTGTTGATTCTTAATAAGTGACTTCCTAGAGCTAAGGTATGGGACTAACAGCTTCAATAAGTTGTTTGAAAAATATTTTCTTAGATTTTTTTTTCTAGGTGTCTCCTAGCCCACTATTTCCTGTAGTGTGTGTCATATTGTAAGCTTTTTATGACAGCTTGTCAAGGCAGAGAAACACGTGTATTTTCCTCTCTCCCACAGTTTTGCTGATGTCAAACTAAGCTCCTGCGTATGTAGAATGAGATCATACCACTATGTGATGTAACGTAAACTTGCAGACGTTACAGCATTCACATTGTCGATTAAACTGAATGGAAACAAAAACATATTCCCACATAATTCCTTCTTGCTCAGCTTTTCTGGCAAATGTGTATAAGAGTTTGTAATCACATTTTGAACACATTAATATACAAGGAAAAAGTGAATATATGCACTAGTGGTAATACAGTGTACAGAAATGTGCAATGTACAGTAATGTTGGCCATATATTCAGCAACTCTGCAGGCTGAAGGAAAAAAATCAACCAGATTCCTCCATTTATGTTACACTGCACAGATGGACGAATCTCCTGCTGCGACCTGTTGTATACTCAGTGGTTGTATCTGATTGGATGCAGCTGCTATTTTGCCAAACATTTTCCATATGTCTTCAACAATGTCAGATGACAAGGCCACCTATAGAGCAAATTTCTGCCTGTTCATTAAGAACCAGATGAAATTTGCATAGTGCATGGCTAACTTAACTCACAGCAATCAATCAGAACACATCTTAAAGGATAAGTTCACCTTTAAAAAGAATAATAAATGTACATCTTTTTGCAGGGACAAAAATGTGCATTTATTATTTTTTTTTACTTGGAGCCTGTAAAGTATTGCACCTGCGATCAACAGATCACAGGTGCCATGCAGGACTCCTGCAGACTTGTCAGTGTATCTGTCTGCTTGTACCTCATACGGGCAGGCAGATACACACTGACAGGAAGAGACAATGAACAACAGAGCACTCAACAGTGCCATGATAGTTCATTGAGAACTACAAACTGACAGCCACAAAGGCTGTCGGTACTTGTAGTTTCCCATTCACAGAAGAGAAGATCCCTCATTTGCTTGTCACTAGATGCAACGGCGTGGACAGCGGCTGAAGGAGTGGAAACATGTTACATATCCTACCCTAAAAACAGGTGGATCATGTAACATGTTCCCAAAGGTGAACATATGCTTTATATGCTTCTGACTACTACACTTTGATTTTTGCAATTCTTTACAGACGAGCCAAATTATCAAAATCGGTCTGATGACTGACATTGTTTGAAAAAACTGCCTGTGTTGCCTGTAACAAGCAGTCTGCTTCTCTTTGTAATGTATTATCCACTCTGGTAACATAAAAAACAGAATGGGGTTAGTTGATGGGGCAATTTTTTTTTTTTCATTTTATCATGAGATCCCTATTTTTGTTTAAAAAATGTAGTAGTTAAAAAACCTATAGTTTAAGAACAGATGTGGAATTTGTTATACAGAAACCAACTATCTAGAAACAAAGAAAGAAACAGGGATGTTACTGGAAACCTGAAAGATCTGTGAAACTTCAGCAAATGGTGGACATAGTTATAGTAAACCTATTAGAATCATATAAAAAACATATAAAACATGTTGCAGCACAACAAAAGTAGGCACCTAGCAGTTTCTACACGTACACTTAGATGTCACCTGGAATGACCTGAATGGCCAAAATCCCCAAAAATTGTATAATAAAGCATCTCTGTGATTTGTACATTCACGTTTATTTTAATCCCCCAACCTTCCCAAGCATGAATTCAACTTTCTGTTACTCTATGCAGTGCTGGTAGAGGAAGTAAATACAATATTCTACTCGGCTTTTTTTCTAAAAAAAAATAGGTGCAGGAACTTCCCTCTTTTGAGTCTTTTTTGTCTACAACCCCCTATCCACATCCGAGTACTGTTCCTTGATTCCACCACCTACCCACCTCCCAATACTGCTCCTTTTAGAGAAAACAGAGCCAAGGATTTTTGTGGTGCTAAGCAATTTGTATGGAATTTGTTAATGAATCAGAAAAGCAGTAAAATACACTGCTCAAAAAAAATTAAAGGAACACTTTTAATCAGAGTATAGCATCAAGTCAATTAAACTCCTGGGATCTTGATCTGGTAAGTAGCAGAGGGGGTTGTTAATCAGTTGCACCTGCTTTGGTGTAATTAAATTAACAACAGGCCCACTAGATGGGCAACAATGAGATGACCCCCAAAACAGGAATGGTTTTCCAGGTGGAGGCCACGGACATTTCTTTCCCTGCTCATCTTTTATGAGTGTTTTTTTACTAGATATTTTTTATGGCTAGGGTAGCATGAGGCAATACCTGGACCCTACAGAGGTTGCACAGGCAGTCTTACTTCTCCAGGATGGTACATCAATACGTGCCATTGCCAGAAGATTTGCTGTGCCTCCCAGCACAGTCTCAAGAGCATTGAGGAGAATTCCAGGAGACAGGCAGTTACTCTAGGAGAGCTGGACAGGGCCGTAGAAGGTCCTTAACCCATCAACAGGTCTGGTATTTGCTCCTTTGTTCAAGGAGGAACAGGATGAGGAACAGGATGAGAACTGCGAGAACCCTACAAAATCACCTCCCACAGGCCACTGGTATAAATGTTTCTGACCAAACAATCAAACTTCATGAGGGTGGCCTGAGGGCCCGACATCCTCTAGTGGGCTCAATGCCCGGCACCATAGAGCTTGACTAGCATTTGCCATTGAACACCAGAATTGGCAGGTCCGCCACTGGTGCACTGTGCTTTTCACAGATGAGAACAGGTTCACCTTGAGCACATGTAACAGACAGAGTCTGGAGAAGCTGTGGAGAACATGATGCTGCATGTAACATCGTTCAGCATGGCCTTTTTGGTGGTGGGTCAGTGATGGTCTGGGGAGGCATATCCATGGAGGGACGTTCAGACCTGTACAGGCTAGACAATGGCACCCTAACTGCCATTAGGTATCGGATGAAATCCTTAGACCCATTGTCAGACCCTACTCAGGTGCAGTGGGTTCTGGGTTCCTCCTGGTGCAAGAGAATGCCCGGCTCATGTGGCGGGAGCATGGCAGGCAGTTTCTGGAGGATAAAGGAATTGATACCATTGAATGCCCCCCCCACGCTCACCTGACCTAAATCCAATAGAACACCTCTGGGATATCATGTTTTGGTCCATCCGGCATCGCCAAGTTGCACCTCAGATTGTCCAGGAGCTCAATGATGCCCTGGTCCAGATCTGGGAAGAAATACCCAAGGGCACCATCCATTGTCTCATTAGGAGCATGCCCCGAAGTTGTCAGGCATGCATACAAGCACGTGAGGCCCATACAAACTACTGAGTACCATTTTGAGTTGCTGCAATGAAATTTCAACAAAATGGACTAGCCTGCTGCATCATTTTTTCACTTTGATTTTTGGGGTGTCTTTGAATTCAGTCCTCTGTAGGTTGATAATTTTCATTTCCATCAAATGATGGGGCATCCTTACATTCCTAACACATTACCCAGTCCATATCAGTATAGATATCCAGCATGATATGTTTCCCTATTGAGATCTGATATGTTTTCAAAGTGTTCCTTTAATTTTTTTGAGCAGTGTATAACCTTTGCAGGCAGCAGCAAACCCCACCCCCCTCCAGCAACAATAGATTTCACTAGAAACAGTGGACCCCTGCAGCAAAATACCACCCTAGCAACAACAGATCTCCCAACAGCCAGCATCAATACACCCCTCCTACATCAGTACATCCCTTTCAGCAACAACAGATCCCCTACTAGCAACAATAGACCGCCTAGCAAAAATAGAATGCACTCCAGTGACAATAAATCCACCAGCGCCCAGCATCAATAGACCTTCCAGAACACCCCAGCACCCCTTGCCATTATATACATTTTTAGTGCTGGAGGTGCCAGAACTGCAGTCCCCCATGTTCCCTCTGAAAAAAAGGCCTGATTCTCTCTTGGTATAAAAGAACATTTGACTCTTTCCACCCGACATCTTTGGGCAAGTTAGTTTTATCACACAAGTTGATAACTTGTACATATGACTTAAGCTGCCCATACATGAACAAAAAACTGACCCATTTCCCCTATCAACAGATTCAGTGGGTATACGGGAACCCCCTGCCCCCTCCCCCCCCCTTCCGCTGCCAGAATACACTGAACAGCACTGATTCAACTGAAATGATCCAGAAGTCCTGTTCATTAGACATCAGTCAATAGAACGACTTCTCATGAATGGGAATAGCCATACATGGATCAAAATTCGACCAGGTCCTGCTGAACAGGCCAAATTTTGATCCATGTATGGCCAGCTGTGGAGGGGCAGGGAAGCGAAAGAAAGAAAGACATGTTAATGCTGAGGGGAAGGGCTAAATCAAAGTAAACCTATTGTTTTGCACTGAATGGGAAAGCACAGGTTCTCTTTAAGGATATGTAAAGGCAAAAAAAAATGAGTGATGCATAATAGAAGGCACTTCATCTTAAAGTGTTAATAAACCCAGGACCCTGCATTCACTATATCTGGTCTCCCACGGTACACAGAACATGGAAATGCAATTATTTTAGTAAATATAAACTGCTAAATACCTTTTCTCATCAGCAGTAAGAGCATTCTTGTGACTTCTATCAGTATCCAGCAGAACACTGGTTAAAGCTAGTAGGAGGAGTTTTCATTCTGCTGTGACTGTCCTATGAAGCTGCATAACCCTCTGTCTGGACAGTGCTGATTGGCCCTGTGCTGATCACATGCCTCTTCCAAAGAAAAAAAAACTCTCTAGCACTACACACCAAACGGAGCATGTGCAGCATGCCTCCTAGAGGTCTGTACTATCAGCAGATGGATTGGGGACAGTAGAAAAAGGGGAGGATCAGGGAAGGCAGGATCAAACAGCTTTTTTACACAATGCAGAGGATTAACCCCTTAGGTTCCACAGTGAATATAACATTTACTGTCGGGGGTTTAGTAACACTATAAATTTGGCTGGTAGTGGGCTTCAAGGGTACATTTAAAGTAAATTGAAGTCACTGATGATTCCACAGTTATGAAGAAAGGGAAGGAAAATGTAGAGAGAGATAGATGGCTTTATAAATTTACTTTCTCTTAACTCCTTCACCATCCTGTTCAAACACTGGCATGAAGAGAAACATTTTATAATCCTGGGCATACGGGAACGTGTACGTAACTCTTCTATTCCTTCCACAATGCAGTACTTTGTGCCTGAGCGCTTAATTGCCAGGCATAAAGGCTGTAATGTAAGGGCATCACAGTGTCACAGTCCTACTGCATGGTAGAAAAAAAAAAAAAATGATCGGAGTTCTGCTTTAGGGATATTAGTCGCTTGCATGAATTGGTGTTTGAAACAGAATAACTCCTTAGATAATGTTGTCTACTGGTGTTTTCTGTGGTGAGACAAACCTGTGGGGCAAGGCCTAGTCTTCCTCGAAGTTGAGATTCTAGCCACCACATTGATGGCCATTTGCATCTGCCTGGTTGTGGGTGGCCCAATGCCTAGTAGTGCAAATACTTTTTCTACTAAACTCACTTCTTGACATATAATAGCCATATATTCAGGTACTGTTTCTGGGAGATGGCACTTCCTTCCCTCGGAACAACCTGGTAGTCTGTAGGATGTTTCACACACCGGCTACTCCAGGCCTCATTAGTAACAAATTCCTTAAGGGTGCACACACCTTTAACAATGAATAGTGCATGTAGCTCCACATACAATTACAGAATGTCCAGTAAGATCATGTTATCTTTCAGATTTTACGTGCAGAAAAGATTATTTACTAAGCCCAAATAATTGGTGATAGTAAAGGCATTATAAATGGTACTAAATAAAGAGATAGTTAAAATGCTTTGGATAAACTGCTCACCACCAGTCATGTTCTCACCCTTGCTCCATTATTAGGTATTTTCCTCATCTGTCCCAGTCTAGTTTGAATTACTGGGCCCACCCAAGGAGGGTACCCACTCAGGGAAACATGACTCTTTTTGTTGCATGTTGCCACCACCACTGGACCCACTTCCCAACTCCAAGCACAACTGACTGGCACCACACCCCTAAATATATATATCTTTTATCTTCCATAGAATATAACATGAGGAGTGAGATCTGTTGCAGCAGAAAATTTAGTGAAGGTCAATGGTTTTGGGGTGAATGAGTTACCACTACAGCCTGTGTTGCCTGTAACACTAATTACTGGAATACCGGCTTGGATTAACTGGCCCTTTATACAAGTTCAGCTTTTAAGCATCAATAAAAAGCACATTTCAAGTTTATGTTAGATGGACCTAATGGTACATAATGATATAACTTTCTTTTGCCCAAATGGGAATTCTCCTTCATATAAATATTAGGGCTGAGTAAACTAACAAATACATGTTACAAAGACAAAAATTAGCTCATGATTATTCTATTATTCTGAAGAATAACTACTAGAACAAACATATGGATTTTTTTATTATTAATAATCAGAAGATATGCAATCATTTGCTGATAAGTGCTCCTCCTTAATGAAAGCATGTCTCCCAGCTGATACAGGGACTCTATTTCAGTGGTTTATGGAATAATTTGCACAGCTAATATAATATATCTTTGATCAGGGCATAAAACAGAATTTCAGCTCTCAGCATATTACCATTTAAGAATACCATGGTAACCTTAGACACAGTTAGCAATTTTATTATAAAAGAAACTCTATAAAAAGAAATCTTCTTTATGAACTATTGCTTCTGTGAGCAGGAAATCTCAAGGAATGATTTGGAAGCCCTAATATTATTTCTGAAGTTCAGATATTGTAAAAAAAATCTCTGTGAAGTAGAAATAAAGTTAAATATGATGCATACTCACTTTGAAAATACAATATTTATACTTCCAGCAAAACCAGTTGAAAAGGAAACAGATGGGTAGAATATCTATCAAGCTCAAGTAAAAAAAAACAATGTTTTCTTTGGTCAACACCTCCACAAATTCCTGTAATTTGGATCATAGTTTTGGAGATAATTTATCAAGCAAAAAGTGTTTTGACTAATAAATTGAATGCAAACAAATGAATGAGGATTTTGGAAAAAGCAATGTATTAACTAGATGTCACTGGAGTCTCCACCAGGGGCGGACTGACAACTCATGGGGCACCCGGGCAATAGGGGATCATGGGGCCCCTGTGTCCTTGCCCAAACTCAAAAAAGCATCTGAAAAAGTTACCAGGAGCATCTCATGGGGCCCTCTACTGACCCCGGGCCCTCAGGCAGTGCCCGAGTTTCCAAATGGTCAGTCCGCCCCTGGTCTCCACCCACTGTCACTCATTATACACTCCAGCCACAGGATGATGTGGCTAAAACAGGAGCACTAGTCCAAATGGTGAAGAACCATGAAGCATTTATTTCATCTTATGACATTTGCTTTGCAATCAACTGTTGGAGCTAGCTCCTAATGCTAAAATGCTAATGTTAAGAATTCTTAACCCATTTAAACCTGAGTCTATCCAGATTGTTACCAGCAAGCTCCAAAGAACGGGGCTCTTTAGAAAGCCTGAAATGCATTGGCTTCTTCTAACTGACATTTCAGAATGATGTACTGTAAACGCTTAATGGTCTTTCAACATTTGGTTCAGCCTCCCACTTTATCTATTCTTCTTTCACCTGAAGCACCTCCTAGAAGTCTCTTTCTGTCTGTGAGCAGCTAATCAGATACCATTGTACACATCAATACAGCTTATTTCTTGAATGTGAGATTATTCTACATATGAATCCAGTGCCTTCTACTTCAGTCTATAAATCTATATGTTGTTACGATCACCACTGCAAGGAGATCATGTGGGCAGAGGAGGAACACAGGTCCCACCTTGAAAGCCACTATATCTACTATTACTGCCATGGTGCTGTGCGCTCAGGTTAGTAGTAGTAGACAAAATCTGATGTTAGGTAATTATTTGGCAGTTTTGCAAGGATCAGTATTCAGTACTGCAGTAAGCTCAAACAGCAGGGAACCACATCTAGTACCAAGATGCCAGCACTTGTAAACTGTAATATATTAAGATTGTTTTATCGCTGTATAGTCTTTAATTAAAAAGAGCTATTAATGTCTAAGAGGGGGAATGAATCTCTTGTCTAGTTTCACCGTCATTGTGACATTTCTTATAAAGCTGTATAAATGCTATATAAGTAGAGTCCATTTAGCTTGTCAATGCATATCTAGATTTGTTCTAAAGAGTAATTGTGGCTATAGACAAAATGATTTTCAAGATGACAAACACTGAATGCATTTTATGATAGTTATTACTTAGGAATGAAATAAATGATTACGAAAGAGTATTTCTAACTGAAAAGAAATCTATGGAGACTGTTGATACCAGTCTTGCCATAGAGAATTATGATGGAAATATGGTTGGTTCTTCTCAGATTTATGATATATACAGTACTAGAATAAAGCTGGATGTCTATTTGCCACACTTAGCAATATATTAAGTGATGCACCTAGTTTGAGGATTGCTTACAACTGAGCCATATAAGAGTTAATGTTTGGAAGAAAGAGAATGTGCAGACAATCATCCTGATTTATCAAGTTGTAACTTGTAACTTGATAAGTGTCGCATATTGCTTACAGTGATATTTGTTTTAATATATTTCAATCTGTTTGTTAAATTTTTAGCTAACAAGTTATACATTGCTCCTCATTTTGAATCCCCTGCCTGCGCCCCTGGCTCATCCCTCTATCTGAATGCCCTTATAGCAAACCACTTGCTATGGGGGTACGCGTGCGGGCGGGCTTGATCACAAGCTGTGCTGTGTGTGTCTATTGGCAGACACAGTGTGGATTAGCCCTGTCCCCTGCTCTCTCCTCACAGGCTGTGATTGACAGCAATAGGAGCCAATGGCTCCTGCTGCTACCTCCATGGCCAGTGAGAGAAGAAAGAAAGTGGAGAGAGCTGCTGCTCCCATGCACAGTGCTGGATTGAGATCGGGCTCCAGTAAGTATTTAGGGAGGGCCTAGTGATACCTCCTGAATGCTGCACCTGTCCTTCCTGGGCACACTAAAATTCTGGTAGAGATGCACTGCACCAAGACAGCCCTGTGTGCAAGGGGCCTAAAGCGTTTTATTGGGTTCAAAGCTTGGTTTGAATGAAATCTTACTGTTAATGAAAGGGTCCAGCTGCTGTGAAGGCTGTAATATATGCAGTAAGCTGTGGTGTTGAAAAAGGTGGGGTGGATGAAGTCCTGATCTCCACCTCAGCCAATCAGAAAATGCTTTAGCATTCTGAGTTTCCATGTGCAAAAGGAAAGTGTGTAGGACTTCTGTAAAAGTGACAATTCATTTGAACCAAGCCAGCATAACAAAACATTTCAATGTTACAGTATACCTGGAGTTCAGGTTTCAGGTAGAACTAAAGGGAAAACTTTCATTTTGGATAGAGCAAGGGAAAGTTATAGTCCCTGTCAGTGTTTCCCATCTCTGCTCCACTGGGGAGATTTCCCTTCACTTCCTGTCCTATAGCCAACACAGGACGTAAAAGGAAATCCTTCCAAAGTGAAGGAAACCTTGGTTGTCACCAGGTTCACCAAAACTAGTGCCCCCATTAAAAGATTTCTCTTTTATTGGGGTCCTGGTGACAACCCAAAATTGGGTCTTATTTTTCCTTTCACTCTCTGTGATAAAAGTAAACAGGACAGATAGAGAGGGTGAATCTCCAACTGGGGCACATTCAGCAGTAAAAACATGACAGTTATTATCCACACTATCCAAAGAAAAAAGGTTAGTCTTTGATTATACTTTAAGAACTAGTTTGTACTATTTAAGTGATATTGATACATCAGGGTGATTTTGTGGTCAAAATGGAACACATGCTCTGTATTTATGGTGACCTATTAAAGAAGATGCATTCGTACAGTCATTTACAAAAGCAAGAGCGAATCACTCACTGCCACAGCTTACTGATTTGAGAGATTAGCCAGCGAAAACCTTTGGGAGGAAGTAAGAGAAACTATAATTGTGCAATAATAAGATAGAAGTACAATATGGCTTCTCAATGTGCTTTTATATTTAGAAAAAAAAGGTAACTAAAACAATGTCTGAATAGGCATTTCTGGACAATGTTGTTGTGCTTACCATTCGGAAAATAAACTTATTGATTTTATGAATTTGCTGCGCGGACCCATTTGTCTTTCTTTCATATTGAACTTATCAACCAGAAAAGGATAAGGTGTCGGCAGCAAACTGAAGGTTGATCCCCTAGAGGCAACCTCTCTAAATGTGGTTGTAAAAGCTAAAGGGTTTTTTTTTTTACCTTAATTTATTTATTTCAGGTACTTATATAGCGCCGTCAATTTACGCAGCACTTTACATATATATTGTACATTCACATCAGTCCCTAAACCTCAATGCATTCTCTTTTATCTTCCATGTTCAGCTCCCCACCAACACCCTAAATACTTACCTGCACACTGCTCTCTGTCTCTCCTCACAGGACTCAGCAGGAGCAGCAGGAGCCATTGGCAGCAGTGTAGTGTAGAGCAATACAGAGAATATTTGTTTATGAAGAGCAGGTTTACATTGCCCTCCCAGACTTTTATGAGAGGTGTTTGGAGGGTGCTGTCCATGTGAACTTCTTAACTGCTAAGGCCCTGCTTGACTTAGAAAGCAAGCCATTGTGGTTTTGGAGGTTGACAAAATTAACCATATTGTCTGAATTTGTGGGGATGCAAAGGCATATCTACTGGTTTGTGCGTTAACTGCCATGACATGGCACTATTACCCAAAAAATGGTAGTGGTATGACAGCTGGTGTACAAAAAAATTTTGAAAAGACACTTTCCTTTTTAAAGTCTATGGAAAAGAGAACATTTCCCTAAAAGCCATACCAGATTAGGACCAGATGGAATTGCCAAAGAGTTGGAATACAGTTTTCATGTATTTTGTTCAACAACTACATAAGTATTCAGTAGAAATAAATTCTTCAACCAATAGATGTCAGTCTTTATAAGTTTGTAGCTGCATCTATGGTATGGTATACTCTGTCTTTTCTCTGAATAAAGTTTCCTGTTTCCTATTTGCAGTGAAGTAAGCAGAGTTCATGTGGACTGTAAGGCTATATACAAACTTTTTAACAGGTTATGGGCCCAGATGCCCAGGCATAGCCTGCTACAGCAAATAAGTGCAATATGCAGCAACAGCAAGAAGACTACAGAATCTAAGAAAATGGCCAGTAACATAGCTGTAACAAAGCTTTAATTTTCAAACTTTACAAACCAGAAGTACCAGTCTTGGAAATTCAAGATGCTGCTAATAAGAGAAGGTACCTGGAAATGTATATATGAAGTCAGGTCAGAACACCCTTTAGATGAGTGGTTAGAGAAAGATCAGAAAGCGCAAAACACAATTTCTCTTAGCATAGAGGGTGATCGACTCATACATATATGTAAGTGTGAAACTGATAAAGAAATGTGGGAATGATTACAAAACAGGGCCAGATCTAGCTGGGTGCAGTAAAAAATGTCAGGCAGAGGATGTGAGGTCAAAAGGGGAACGTACAGAGGTCAATATGGTAGTGAACAGGGGGTCAGCAGGGCAGGGGACACATAATATGTTCCTAAAGGAAGACTTAACCTTTAAACAGTATAAACAATATGTAACATTGACAATATTAACATTACCCATAACAAGTAATCTTCCTGGCTTTACAATTAAAAAGTCAAGACAGAATGACAAAATATGAGTAAGATTAGGATCCTGAAAGACTTAGAGCACCCTGGGACAGAACAGAAAAGTTGTATGGCTGGCCAGTAGGGGTTCATAAAGGGGCATTGAAGAGAATCTGCGCCTGCTGTATACAATGCACACCTATATTACAGTCCTTGTACCCACAAAATGCTAAACACTGTTCCACAACTAACAGTCTCACAGGCACAAATAAACCACAGGACTAAGGACTATATATATATATATATATTTTTATTTTTTTTTTTTAAATTAAATGTTTCCATTACTGAGCCTGCTTTAACCACTTGCCTACCAGGCACTTATACCCCCTTATTTACCAGGCCAATTTTCAGCTTTCAGCGCTGCTGCACTTTGATTAACAATTGCGCGGTCATGCAACATTGTACCCATATGAAATTTTGATCATTTTTTTCTCACAAATAGAGCTTTCTTTTGGTGGTATTTAATCGCCACTGGGCACTTTACTTTTTGCGCTATAAATAAAAAAATTGCAAAAAAATTTGAAAAAAGAAAAAAAGTTTCTTTGTTTCTTTTATAAAATTTTTCAAACAGGTATTTTTTTTCCTTCACTGATGTGCGTTGATGAGGCAGCACTGATGGGCACTGATAGGCGGCACTGATGGGCAGCAGCACTAAAGGGCTTTGATAGGCAGTACTAATGAGGTGGCACAGATAGGCGGCACTGATAGACAGCACTAATGAGGTGTCACGGATAGGCAGCACTAATATGCAGCACTGATAGGCGGCACTGATAGGTGACACTGATTATGGGAACTGATAGACGGCACTGACTGGCATCACTGCTGGGCACTGACTGGCGGCACTGACTGGCACAACCCCTGGGCACTGACTGGTGGCACTGACTGGCAGCACTGCTGGGCTGCACTGGTGGGTGGCACTGGTGGGCAGCACTGGTGGGTGGGCACAGGTGGGTGGCACTGGTGGCACTGGTGGGCACAGGTGGGTGGCACTGCTGGGCACAGGTAGGTGGCACTTCTGGGCACAGGTAGGTGGCACTGCAGAGTGGCACAGGTGGGTGCACTGCTGGGCACAGGTGGGTGCACTGCTGGGCACAGGTGGGTGATCTGCTGGGCACGGGTGGGCGGAGCTAGTGGACGCACTGCTGGGCACAGGTGGGCGGAACTTGCGGGTGGCACTGCTGGGCACCGATCATCAGGGCACTGATCATCAGTGCCCTGATGATCGGTGCCGATCCCCGCTCTGACAACTGCCGGTTCTCGGCAGTACTTTCCTCACGATCTGACAGCGTGAGGAAAGTGCAGCCGAGAACCGGCACTTGCATTTCCCTCTGATCAGCGTGTCATTGGACACCGCTGATCACGTGGTAAAAGGCGCTGTGATTGGCCTTTTACCACATCACGTGATCAGCTGTGTCCGTAGGACACAGCGATCACGGAGATCGCCGGGTGCGCGCCCCCTGGGGCACGCAGGAGAGCGCGTTCTGGGAGGACGTCAAATCAGAAGGAGCGCAGTGAATGAAGTAGAAAAGCACATGTGGACTGTGCACTGTCTGTTCTGTAGGGCTACATACAGAATTTTCAACACAAAGCCAAATTAGATGGTTTGTGTGGAAAAATGTGATGGGTATGGAGAATATAGGTATGAAACCTAAGCTGACTTCTGTAGGGGGAATTTCCCCATTAGAAGTCATGATTGAGCAGGACAATAAGGGAACGTCCCCCCAATCTCATGAATCCAGACCATACTGATTCCAAAAATAGAAGGGAAAATTATGTCCAAATAACATTCATTTAAAGGTGGTTGAAGAAATTTGAGAGATGAATTACAAGGTACACCAACATGGAAAGTGGGAGCCTTACCAAATCTGCCCTTTTAACATACTGAAAACTTGGAGACTGGGAATCATTGTCTGCAATGGCAAGTATGAGCCTCGAGCACTAATTTCCAGCATATGTCCCTTCACATATCTTGATGTTATTGTTGTCTTGGAGATTGGTTAGGAAGGCCAGAATTTTAGACTAAAAATGACTAGGACATGCCCATTTTTAGGACCCCAGCACTGGGCATGTATCTAGGCTTAAATTATGCTTCACATTTGCTGATTTTGAAAGGTTGGGGCTATCTACATCAAGGCACTGGGGTTCAGTATCCTATTAAGAGTGACTACACTTATCAGTGGCACATGCACTGACTTGCCCTTGTAAGCTGGTCTATGCAGAAGAAAATTGAGAAAAATGTAAAAGATTAAAGACCACATTGCATAATATATATATTCTATACACTAACATAAGTTGTGATTACTGGTTTCCAGGAATGTACTTTACAGTATGTTCACATTCAAAATCTGAATGATGTTTTATGCTTTTTGATAACATCCAGAGAGAAAAGAGTGGTGACAGAATTCTGGCCCTTAAAAAGAGAGAACTCTGGTGGATAAACAAGCTGTCTTCTCAACATCGCAGCAAATTAAATAGGGATTTTGATCTTTATTTATTTATGCAGATACAAATCACACATTTGTTTGGAATTGTCTTAAATCAGGCTACATGTTTGAGATGTATCATTTTCTGTGATTTCATGTTTGTAATTTGAGTTTTAGGATTCAGAGCATTCAGAGCGTTAGTAGCGCTGTGATTATGTTTTTTTTTTCTTTGCAACTGGCGATGACATGTCTTCTCTTTTGTTTACATATAGTGCAATCAATGCTGACATTTTGCTACCTTTTTTAAAGAGATCCTGTCATCACACCATGTTCTCAAATTGCAATTTGTATGTCAATAGAGCCTGATTTCCACTTAACTTTTTCACTAACTTTTTACTTCTAAAAATCTGTTGCTTATTTCAATGGTATTAAGCACTGTTAATTTCTTTCTTTCAGGAAGCATTGGATTCCTCTCTTGGCTCATTGAAACTGTTCACCCCACTCCCAGCCATTACATAACAGCTCCCAGTACAGTGTTGTGCAAACAGGCACAGTGTAGGGTTGTGCTTTTACAGACCTGCTGTGGTAAGTCTCCAAAGGCTTCTAGCAATCTGTTCCAGCCGCTTAAATCTGCAGAGGCTGCCAACAACCTGCACCAGTGGCCAGAAATCTCCAAAGGTTGCCAGCATGCTGTGCCAGGAGCTGCAAGCCTAAAAAGCCTAGCTGCAATCTCTACCAGTATCTACATGTCCCTAAAGGCTCCCTGGTGAAGCTCAGCTGCTTTATTTATATTTGTTCATTCCTATAGTTGTCAGCTGTGATAGCACTGAGCTTCACAGAAAACAATGCTGCTCTCAGCAGAGGGACCATGCCCACAGCCTGACTGGCAGTGACCCACTGGGGCCACTGATGTCATGGCAAGATGGCAGCACCATCAACTGTATGAAGAAAGCATGGCTGAATTTTGAATCAACAATAACACAGTTCCTCACACACGGCTAATGTGTAAGGCAAAGTGTATGGACTTGGAAAAATCTGTATGTAAATGGATAGAAAACTGTCTAAAAGATTGTTTCAGAGAGTAGTAGTTAATGATTCGTACTCTGAATGGTCTACGGTTGTCAGTGGTGTACCCCAAGGTTCAGTGTTGGGACCCTTACTTTTTAATATATTTATAAACGATATAGGGTCTGGGATTAAAAATCCCATTTCAGTCTTTGCAGATGACACCAAGCTGTGCAGTGGAATAACGTCCTTACAGGATGTCTTCAACTTACAAGCCGACCTCAATGCTCTGTTTAATTGGGCAACTATGTGGCAAATGAGGTTTAATGTTGATAAATGTAAGGTTATGCCCTTGGGGGCTAAGAATATGCATGCATCATACATACTAGGGGGGTACAACTGGGGGAATCAATGGTGGAGAAGGATCTGGGAGTTCTGGTAGAGCACAAGCTTAAATAATGGCATGCAATGCCAAGCTGCAGTTTCTAAAGCGAGCAAAATCATCTCTGTATTAAAAGAGGTATAGACTCCAGAGAGAGATATATCATATTACCCTTGTATAAATCATTAGTAACACCTCATCTGGAATATGCAGTTCAGTTCTGGGCACCAATTCACAAAAAAGATCATTGGGGAACTGGAGAAAGTACAGACAAGGGCACCCAAACTGATAAGAGGCATGGAGGAGCTCAACTATGAGGAAAGATTAGAAGAACTGAATTTATTCTCTCTTGAGAAGAGGAGATTAACCACTTGCCTACCAGGCACTTATACCCCCTTCCTTACCAGGCCAATTTTCAGCTTTCAGCGCTGCCGCACTTTGATTGACAATTGCGCGGTCATGCAACATTGTACCCATATGAAATTTTGATCATTTTTTTCTCACAAATAGAGCTTTCTTTTGGTGGTATTTAATTGCCACTGGGCGCTTTACTTTTTGCGCTATAAATAAAAAAGTGCAAAAAATTTGAAAAAAAAAAGTTTCTTTGTTTCTATTATAAAATTTTTCAAACAGGCATTTTTTCTCCTTCACTGATGTGCGTTGATGAGGCAGCACTGATGGGCACTGATAGGCGGCACTGATGGGCACTGATAGGCAGCACTAAAGGGCACTGATAGGCAGTACTAATGAGGTGGCATGGATAGGCGGCACTGATAGACAGCACTAATGAGGTGTCACGGATAGGCGGCACTAATATTCAGCACTGATAGGCGGCACTGATAGGTGACACTGATGATGGGTACTGATAGACGGCACTGACTGGCATCACTGCTGGGCACTGACTGGCACAACCCCTGGGCACTGACTGGTGGCACTGACTGGCAGCACTGCTGGGCTGCACAGGTGGGTGGCACTGGTGGGCACAGGTGGGTGGGCACAGGTGGGTGGCACTGCTGGGCACAGGTAGGTGGCACTTCTGGGCACAGGTAGGTGGCACTGCAGAGTGGCACAGGTGGGTGCACTGCTGGGCACAGGTGGGTGATCTGCTGGGCACAGGTAGGCGGAGCTAGTGGGCGCACTGCTGGGCACAGGTGGGCGGAACTTGTGGGTGGCACTGCTGGGCACCGATCATCAGGGCACTGATCATCAGTGCCCTGATGATCGGTGCCGATCCCCGCTCTGACAACTGCCGGTTCTCGGCAGTACTTTCCTCACGATCTGACAGCGTGAGGAAAGTGCAGCCGAGAACCGGCACTTGCATTTCCCTCTGATCAGCGTGTCATTGGACACCGCTGATCAGGTGGTAAAAGGCCGCTGTGACTGGCCTTTTACCACATCACGTGATCAGCTGTGTCCGTAGGACACAGCGATTACGGAGATCGCCGGGTGCGCGCCCCCTGGGGCGCGCAGGAGAGCGCGTTCTGGGGGGACGTCATATGACATCCACCCAGAACTGGCCGGCCGCAGTGAAGCCGTCATTCGGCTATCTGCGGTCGGCAGGTAGTTAAGGGGGGATATGATCAACATGTATAAATACATCAGTGGTTCTTCTTATAGTGAACTCGGTGTAGAGCTATTCACCCTGAGGTCATCACAGAGGACAAGGGGGCACTCTTTATGTCTGGAGGAAAAGAAATGTAATCTCCAAATACAGAAAGGTTTCTTCACAGTAAGAGCTGTGAGAATGTGGAATAGACTCCCTCAAGAGTTGGTTCTGGCCAGCTCAGTGGATTGCTTTAAAAAAGTCCTGGATTCTTTCTTAGATACACAGAATATAACTGGTTACTAACATTTATAGGTAAAGTTGATCCAGGGAATATCCGATTGCTTCTTGGGGGATCAGGAAGGAATTTTTTACCCTGCAGGAGCAAATGGGATCATGCTTTGCTGGGTTTTTTGCCTTCCTCTGGATCAACTGTGGGTGTAGGATTATAAAAAAAAATTTTTTTTATTGGTTGAACTGGATGGACTTTTGTCTTTTTTCACCCAGACTAACTATGTAGCTACTGTATGTAATAAGGTACACAAATATAAATAAACAATAGTAATATATGTTCTATATAAAATATTCTGGGGACAGGGTGCCCTGTGGATGGATGGATGGCTGCTATCGGCGAAGAGACATATGAGTACATCACTGCATACTTTCGGGTTTTCAGGCACGGGAGCCCCCCTGCCCACTCCCGCTGTGATTGCACATAGTGGGAGCTTGTCAGCAAGTCAGCAAGCTAATCATGAATGGCAGGGACCTGCTGATTGGCTGTGTACTGTCACAGCCCAGAGCTCTGTGCTGGTTAACAACACAGAGCTCTGTACAGAGGAAACGATCTGCAAGTTTCTCATCCCCAGGGGATGAGAAACTTAGAGATCATTTAGTAAAAGTGGCACAATTTTCACACATTACACATAGTTAGGCACATATTTAATGTTGTAGTAAACAGCAGGAAAGGACTTTATGAACTATTTTTATCTTTTTAATTACATTACAGCGCTGCACTATATATTTAATGTGACAGTATTATCACTGATCACTGTATTAATGTCACTGGTGATGTCAGTGGCAGTTAATCAGTGTCAGTTAGTGGGAGATTGCTTTCTGCACTCCCGTAGTCCCATTATAAGTCACTGATCACCGCCATTAGTAGTATAAATAAAACAAATCGGGCATATATACCATAGTTTGTAGGTACTATAACTTTCATGCAAACCAAACAATATACACTTATTGGGATTTTTTATCAAATACATGTTGCAGAATACATTTTGACAAAAAATTTATGAAGAAATTCAATTTTTAATATTTTTTATTGGATATGTTTTATAGGAAAAAGTAGAAAATATTGGGGTTTTTTTTTCAAAATATTCGGTGTTTTTTTATTCATATCGCAAAAAATACAAAACCCTGTGGTGATCAAATACCACCAAAAGAAAGCTATGTTTGAATGAAAAAAAAAATGATAGAAATTTAATTTGGGTCCAGCGTTGCATGATCGCATAATTACTAGTTAAACTAGCGCAATGCAAAAAAAGTGGCCTGGTCAAGAAGGGGGTAAAACCTTCTGCAGCTGAAGTGGTTAAGAAAGCAAGGGAACGCCAATCTGTTGCTGAGCTGCACCTACCACTTGACTTGGTAACATGCAGCTTAGAATTTCCCAGTCAATCATATTTCTTAGTGGTAGATACTCTTTAAAATATAAAAATGATCCAGGTTTGACCTGATTACATTTTTCTATAAGAGAAAAGGTAGATAAACCCAGAGTATAATGCACAAATAAAGCAAAATTATAATGCACATAAAACATGCCTATTCTCTCTTGAGTAACATGCACTTTTTTCTTTATGATTAGAACATCTCACATTAAATTGCTTGGCTCGCGAAAGCTAAGAAAAATACGAATTGTAAACTAAACTATCTTACCCATATATCACTGTTCTCAACGGCAGTCTTTGTGATGCCAAACATAAATATTACAGACTTCAGAAACTGTAGAGTCAGTGTAAATTCATTTAACACATTTCTTGGATAAAAATCTACTTTAGTAACATGTATTCATATCCTTTTCATTCCCTAAGAGTTGTTTATTTAATTATAAAAAAGGCTTAACTCTGCTTTTTAAATTAAAGTACGCTACCAACTTTTCCATCAAGGGAAATTAAGACTTTTCCAAGGAAAACAGAAAAACAAGTCAGCATTACACTTTACAAATATCACTCCGACACTGGGCACCAGCCGGAGACATACGGTTGCTCTTGAATGCTGCTTACATTTGTGTCTTAGGACATATCAGGATGTGAATCTACAGCTTATTTAAATAAATTGCTATATGCCAAAATTCATTTTATTCCACACAAAATTGTTTGTTAGGCTTGTTAAAGGGAAATGCCAACCAAACATTTTGCACTGCTTGTAGTGGGGTTAGGCAAGTGAGAAATGTAAAAATGGCTTACCTCATTGCCCTCAGTTAAATGGTTTATCGCTGTACAAATAATATGCTAGACTTTGAACCACTACGTCCATCTTTCTTTATGCAACTTTTTTTTTTGTGTCAAACAGTAAATTCCCAATTCAAGATTTGCCAATCTCTGCAACGCCACCATCAATCCCACCCCACACACTAAAGTCCTGGGTGTCACCCTGGACTCAAACCTTTCCTTCCAACCTCATGTCCAATCACTATCAAATTCATGCAGGCTCCACCTCCGCAACATCCCCAAGATACGTATGTTCCTCACCCCAGACACCACTAAACAACTCGTACACTCCCTTATTATCTGACGCCTGGACTACTGCAACTCCCTTCTCACTGGCCTACCCCACTCCAGACTGTCCTGAACTCAGCGGCTAGACTCATCCACCTCACCAACCGCACCACTTCTGCCTCCCCCCTCTGCCAATCCCTTCACTGGCTCCCGATTGCCCAACGCATCAAATTCAAATGACTAACTCTGACATACAAAGCCATTCATAATGCCACCCCAAACTACCTAACTGACCTGATACCCAAATACCACCCTACCCGTGCCCTTCGCTCCTCACAGGACCTCCTACGTTCTAGCTCCCTGGTCTCCTCCTCCCATGCCCGACTGCATTACTTCTCCAGGACTTCCCCCATCCTCTGGAACTCCCTACCCCAATCCATCAGACTGTCACCTACCCTCCTCACCTTTAGGCGCACCCTGAAAACCCATCTCTTCAGGGAAGCCTACCCCACCCTCAACTAACAGCCGTTCTCCTCCACTCCTTCTACCACTCCATCCCCCACAGCCACTTCCTCCTGTACCTCTACCCCTTCCCTCCTAGATTGTAAGCTCGAAAGAGCAGGGCCCTCGAACCCCTCGTGTATTGTATTGTTACTGTATTGTCTCATGTACCACTCTAATGTACAGCACTGAGCAAACCCTTTGGCGCTATGTAAACACTGTATAATAATAATAATAATAATAATAGTATAAAATAAAGAAATGAATAAATAAATAAATAGAAATTCCAGTATATATACAATTGTTTGTAGACACTATAACTTTTACGCAAACTAATCAATATGCACTTATTTGGATTTTTTTTTTTTACCAACAACATACAGCAGAATACATTTTTACCTACATTTATGAAGAAATTCGATTTTTTTATTTTCTTATTGGATGTGTTTTATAGCAGAAAGTAAAAAATATAGTTTATTTTCAAAATTTTCTGTCTTTTTTCATTTATATAATAGCAAATTTAAAAAAAACCCAGTGGTGATCAAATACAACCAAAATAAAGTTTTATTTGTTTGAAAAAATGCCAAATAGCAAAAAATGTCCTGGTCATGAAGGGGGTAAAATCTTCTGGAGCTTAAGTGGTTAAAGATGAAATAAGAGAATGTAGTCAGCTATGGGGTAAATGTTTATTTTAAACTTTTTTATTTAGACTGAATTGCCTCTGAAGAGTAGAAGACTTATTTGCCACTATCTTCATAGCTACATGCACAAGTCTTTGTACTTCTGAGATCTCTTTAAGCACCAGGTGACTTTTGATTTAAAAGGAGGGTTGTTGCATGAACTGGCTAAAAGAGAGAGGAGCTCCTGGACATTTTCCAGCAATAACTCCTTAAAGGGTAAGCTCACCTTTGGGAACGTTACATGTTCCACCCGTTTTTAGGTTGGCACATATAACATGTTCCCATAGCTGCAGCTGCACCCTCCGCCTCCCCTCCCTCTGACAGATAGTATGGGGACAAGTCTCTCCATACTATCTGTCAAATTTAAAAATAGTGTGGCCATGTGAGGCTCCGCCCACAAAGTTGCATCATTCATTCACGGACTTCCATGAATGAACTGCAAGTCCCAGCAGTCTTAGTGGCTGTGGGCTTGTAATTTTCAATGAACTACCACAACGTTGTGGAGCATCGTGACAGTTAATTGAGGCTTCTTGTCAGAGTATGTCCTGGCACGTATGGCAAGCAGATACTCTGACAGGTCTGCAGGAGACCTGCATGGCACCAGTGATCTACTGATCGCTGGTGCTATGCTTTCCAGGCTCCTGTAGACAAAAATAATAAATGCACATTTTTTTTACCTGCGAAAAAATGTGCATTTATTATTTTTGTCTAAAAGATGAACTTATCATTTAAAGTGCCCCCCCCAAGAAGCAAATCTGTGTTGCATGCAGCTCTACATGCTGTTATATAATATCATCCTAGATCTGTATTGAAAAATTAGGCATTTCTTAATTACATTAAACTACATTGTACTTCCTTGTATCTAGAGGCACTGGTGATATAGCCAGGGCCTCACCAATGCATCTTGTGATGGTTATCCTATTCAATGCCTTCCTGGAAAATCTCTTACATGCACTGGGAGATCTTGCAAGATTTCTAGCAAATACATATTTTTCTTTACTCAGGTGATGTCTAGTGTCACATGGGCAAGAGGGCATCTGCCCTTTCCTAAAATGGCCACAAAAAAGAAAGTGCTGAAAAGAAGAAAAGTGAGAAAAGTCTCAAAAAAAGGAACAATAAACTTGTTTTTTGGCATGTCTTTTCACAACCTTTTGCATAGTGGTTTTACGTTGATGGTCTGGGGAAGATCGCTATAACAGACTTACAAAAAGAAAATGGGATTTTAATGGCTGCAAGCTGTAGTTAATGCACTTTTCCTTTGCTTGCACAATCATAATTTTTCAATTTATATTTCGTTTTGAATTCTTTTCTTCCTGTTTTTCTAAGTGGCATTCTCTTTCTGTTCTCTATTCTGTAATCTAACACAACCTGGTGCAAAGGGGAGAAACAGCAGTAGGACACAGAAAGGGTATTTGTAAGTTTCCCTTAGTCCATTTAGTGTCTGTATCTGTAATTGTTTTTATTTCCACTTGTTTTGATTAGTTGGTGCAGAATATGTGCAGTAATTCAACACAAATAGGCCTATATATATATATAGATATAAGTAACAGCCATTTGTTTTACTTAGCTCTCCTGCACTAAAAACATTTGGAAGAGTTCTTTTTTAAGGAATTATATGAAGTGCACCTGGCAATTGTCCTGAATTAATTACAGCAGTAAAATGTAGACATGACATACCACAACATTCTAACATTCCCCACATCTTCTTAAAGGCCTTTCTACATAGTAGGAAATAAAGGTTGGAAGGGGTCAGTCCACTCTCAACATTGCAGAGAATGCTTACATTTCATATCAAAACACCTTTAGCAGTTGGGATTTTCAAGAATCATGAGACGATGTTTAACGATATATGCAGACACTGCAGATTGGTTCTGTTTCTTCTGCACAAGTGTCCTGCATGAAGATATAGGACCAGTTTTTCCTTCCATAGGACTTTCTGAGATCCCATTAAAGTGTTACTAAACCCAGGAGCCTGCATTCACTATATCTGGTCTCCCACAGTACACACAACATGGAAATGTAATTATTTTTGTAAATATAAACTGCTAAATACCTTTTCTCATCAGCAGTTAGAGCAGTCTTGTGACTTCTATCAGTGTCCAGCAGAGCACTGGTTAAAGCTTGTAGAAGGAGTTTTCATGTTGTAGGAGGATGCAGAACCCCTGGCCTCTGTCCGTGCTGATTGGCTCTGTGCTGATCACGTACACCCTCCCAAGAAAAAAAAAAACCTCTCTAGCAATACACACAAAACTGAGTATGTGCAGAGTGACTCCACACGATATGTCTTATCAGCATATAAGAGGGGGGCACTGAAAGAAGGGGAGGATCAGAGAAGTGAGGATCAAACAGTGTTTTTACACAATGCAGAGGATTAACCCCTTATTTTCCACAGTGAGTATAACAAGCATGCTTTACTGCATATATTATTTTACTGTTGTGGGTTTAGTAACACTTTAAATGGACACAACAATTGCAGAATCATTTGTTCCTGCACCAAGTCTTTACCTATGGTTAGAAAGTGATGGGATGGGCAACACAAGGTTAATCAAATTTTTTTCAATGATCAAAGACAAGTGTGTATTGTGGATTTCACTGGTCATTGGACACAGAAGGACATTGTCTGAAAATGTCTAAGTTGAGTTCTGAAAATATTTTTCCTCTAAAGGTCATATTCAGTGGTTGATTCTGTAATACAAACTAAATACGTAAGTAATTGCAGTACAATAACTACTGAAGAGTCAAATTCTCATCTTGCCAAAATAAACTCTAGTAACTGTTATGGGAGGGGGGGGGAGTTAATTGTGAAAATAAGAATTATGAAAGCTACAAATCTGATATGGTAAGGGATACATATTGAAATATTAAAACTATGGCAGATGGCAGAAGTACTGAGGTACTGGAGAATGGCTAAGATCCTCTATGGTCCTCTCAACCTCGTTTAATGATATGTTAATAAAATGGCATGGCCAGCAATTATTTCACATTATTGTTTTTTCTGACTTCAAATATTTGGCTATATGAGCTAGATCAATTTACATTCCATTTTTACTTTTCATTCTTTATGCGACATTGTTGTATATGCAAATTATGTGTTCATAACTTTCAGAGATGCTTTGTAATCTTAAACACTGCTCATCTTTTTTAACATATCCAAAAAATAAGAATACCACTTCAATAAATCAGACAGATCCTATGCATAATGAAACAAATGACTGCATACTTGCAAATGATCTTGCCATATTCCTGGAAGCAATGAAAGAAAATGTCATTTAACCATTTGCCTTCAGACGTCTATGGTGAAGACATTTTTAGACCTGACAAAACAGACAAATTCTACTGACTGAAAAGCTCTTAAGAAATCAATTGACATCTGTCATGCTAAGTGGCCAATCCTGACACCAGAACTCAGAATCTGCCTTTTAGAATTATATCCACATCCACTTTATGGAAGGAACACATTACATTACCAAAACAACCTTCTGCTTCTCATGAATTTTTCCTTTATACGCACTTTAATGTGTCATCATTTTGAGGCTGTTGCAACCACATGTTCCCAAAACGTACGCTGTTCTGAAAAACATTCCAATCTTGGAATTCCATGGTCTGTCATAACTGTGCAAGAGGGATTTCCCTCCCCATAAACTCTGACTAACACCTTGGATGTCTGATTATGGTGTTCACTCTTAATGAATATAAAGGGGCTTCCGAGTCATCATGAGTCACTTGCTTCAAGAGTGAAAATAAGACACAATGCACTTTGCCAAAATCTTAATGTGAATCTACAAAAAAATACAAAATCCCTGATGGTTGTAAATGAAAAGTTCTTTTCATAACCTTGATACTTTATATGTTGGAAAAACAAAACGTTCTTGTCTAAAAAAAAAAAGTAGCCTAATAGACGTTTTTGCAAAAAAGCTTTGGTGCATTTCTCTCTAACAATCTGCTCATAATGTACAGCTGAAATTATTTTGATAGGCAATTCAAAGAATACCAGCTTTTGTGGGTAAACTCTCAGTCTTTTTTTCAAACATTTTCACACATTACTTTCAGTGCCACTTCAGGATCAATGATCCCAAGAGCAGCATTAGAGCTGTGGTGAAGATGTATAATTAAGGGCATAAAAGTTCTTGAAAGACAGACTTGGAAAATGCATCGGGTGTCCCTAAGAGTCCCATTTAATCTCTTATTAAGAATGATTTATTAAATGTTGCCTCCAGTTGACAGTGAATGAACTGGCATATTCAAATATAAACCCATCCAATTTTATCACATTAATTACACACAATGCCGGTACACATGATTTTCTTCTTCTGCTTCCTCCACATTGGAAAAATAACCTGTTATAACTACAGGCATCTGAATCTCTCCAATCTTGATGTCAGCAAATAAATATATGATAATTATGATGATAATAATAAAAATAAATATAACTAAGTGTGTCAGACATGCAGGCTTACTCAGCAAGGGAGTGATCATGTGCCAAGTGCAGAAACCCAAACCCCCTATACACATTTATCTAGTTGACAACAGCAAACTGAAAGCCACTTGCCACAAGTTGCACAAATTGCCCTAATAAAGTGCATGTATAACCGATGCATTTTCTTAGTTTTTGTTGAAGTAGTGAATGGTTAAAACCCCTTTTATCTTGTCTGTGACCTGTTGGGAAGCTTTCCCTTTACTCCATGTCCCAGAGACACGACAGGAATTCTCTGCAAATTGGAGTTTACCCTCACCTCGTGTTCTGGCAAAAACTCTGAAATGTTGTGTAGCACTACCCCCTTAGGAGTCACTGAGTTTTGTGTCCCCCTACAGCTCTGCATAGCCAGGCAAAACACATTTTCTTCCACACCTGCACACTGGAGACAGTAAACAGTCCACGAGCTTGGTTTTGTGATTTTACTAAGGGGGTTTGGAGCTTGGATGAGGTTGAGAGATGTACAGTTGTGTTCAAAATAATAGCAGTGTGTTGATAACAGTGAATAAAGCTCAAAATCCTTCTAATAGCTTTTATTTCCATACACACAAATGCATTGGGAACACTACACATTCTATTCCAAATCAAAACATGAAGAAAAATATATTAAATTTGTGTTGTTCCTCTAAAAAAATTGAAGAAAAGTGAATATTAGACTGTTCAAAAAAATAGCAGTGTTTGTATTCTTCCTTACAAACTCAAACATTCACTATATAAACTGAAAAATGTTTGAAGATTTTGCTTTCCGATGAATCACTTAATGAATATTTAGTTGTATAACCACTGTTTCTGAGAACTGCTGTACATCTGTGTTGCATGGAGTCAACCAACTTCTGGCACCTGTGAACAGGTATTCCAGCCCAGGATGATTGGACTACATTCCACAGTTCTTCTCTATTTCTTGGTTTTGCCTCAGAAACTGTATTTTTTATGTCACCCCACAAGTTTTCTATTGGATTAAGATCCGGGGATTGGGCTGGCCACTCCATAACGTCAATCTTGTTGGTCTGGAACCAAGATGTTGCACGTTTACTGGTGTGTTTGGGGTCATTGTCTTGTTGGAACACCCATTTCAAGGGCATTTCCTCTTCAGCTTAAGGCAGCATGACCTCTTCAAATATTCTGATATATTCAAACTGATCCACGATCCCAGGTATGCGATAAATAGGCTCAACACTGTAGTATGAGAAACATCCCCATATCATGATGCTTGCGCAACCATGCTTCACTGTCTTCACAGTGTACTGTGGCTTGAATTCAGTGTTTGGGGTCGTCTGACAAACTGTCTCTGGCCACTACACCCAAAAAGAACAATCTTACTTTCATCAGTCCACAAAATGTTGCACCATTTCTCTTTAGGCCAGTCAATGTGCTCTTTGGCAATTTGTAACCTCTTCAGCACATGTCTTTTTTTCAACAGTGGGACTTTGCGGGGGCTTCTTCCAGATAGCTTGGCTTCACATAGGCGTCTTCTAATTGTAACAGTACTCACAGGTAACTTTAGACCTTCTTTGATCTTCCTGGAGCTGATTGTTGGCTGAGTCCTTGCCATTTTGGCTATTCTTCTATCCATTCGAATGGTAGTTTTTTACTTTCTTCCACGTCTTTCAGGTTTTGGTTGCCATTTTAAAGCATTTGCGATCATTTTAGCTGAGCAGCCTATCATTTTCTGCACTTCTTTATATGTTTTACCCTCTCCAATCAATTTTTTAATCAAGGTACGCTTTTCTTCTGAACAATGTCTGGAACGACCCATTTTCCTCAGAATTTCAGAGAGAAATGCACTGTAACCAGCATGTACAACATTTGCTACCTTCCTTCCTTAAATAAGGGCAATAATTGCCACCTGTTTTTCAAAGAATGAATGACCTCACTAATAGAACTCCACACTGCTATTATTTTGAACATGCCCTTTTCAATGAGTGATTCAATTACACAGAATCAGCAGCATGCATGTCATGACTGTTGGGTCTGTTGGATTTCTATTACTCTACTACACCTGCTAGTAAATTATTTGCTATGTAGAAATATCATATCTACCAAAAACAGTGATTGATCAGGTTAGTGATGTCTGACTGCTATTATTTTGAACACAACTGTATGTGATGCCAAAGGAAACTGTGAATTGTGAGGACAACTCCTTAGCAAGTATGTACAAGTCTGTGGACAAAAAGTGTCTCCTTTAAAGAGCTCTCTAGCTCTCGGCTGTACTTCACCAGCCCCCAGATGAATCCTCCTCTTCACCCAGCTGCCTGAGAGTATCCCTGGGCAAGGGGGCCCAGAAACTGCCTAAGAAACAGTCCAAGATGAGGGGCTAGCTGGGTTCTCCACCTGAATGCCCTTATCCAGCCCAGGGAGTGTAAGGTTACTCATACTGTCCTTCCTGATAGCTCAATGGGTAGATGGACTGGTTTCTTCCCTGCTGTTCAGGTTGTGCTTCCTGGAAGACATAGGCACAGCAGAGACTCCCTTGCCCAGCACCAGCCTGTAGGTAGGCCCCATCCCTGGGCCCCCTTACCAAGCTCCACACTCCAGCCTGCACTGCATCTTCCATTTGACACTACTCCTGCTGATCAGGCTCTCGCATACTTAAGGACTGTCCTGGCCCCATTCCTGCCTCCTGCTTGGGGATTGGCCAGGATCTCTTAAAGTATGCAGATAAACCTCTCCTCACCCCCGCCCACTGCCTTCTAGAAACGTATCCAGCTTCTAGAGCAGGGGGAGGTTTCAGAGAACTGACCTGCAGAGCCCTCAGCCCTGACCTACAATAACCTGGCTAGCTCA